CCCCCCCCCACCCCCAACCTGTATTAGAAGATGCCTTTCTTGGAAAACTGACTTTTCTGCACAGAAGCAATGAAAACTTGAACTGATTTTACTCTTCAGATGCAGTGGTGCAGTAACTGATGATGAAAGCCTCCAGCTGATCTTGCTCTATGATCCTCACATCTGTCTGATCAGGTCCGAGCTGACAGAGTCTGCAGAGCTCCTGCAGATGTTCACAGAGACTTTGAATTATTCCAGTGAGGTTGGAGGTCAGATTTATGAGTTTGGCTGATTTTGCTTCCAAAAGTCAAGTAGACCCACAAATTTGATGAGAACTGCCATTTCAAGGAAAAAGGAACAGAACACTTTTAGAAAAAGAAAATGATGGGGCTGCAATTAAGATTTTAATTCTGATCTTAAAGATTTTTAGATGTTGTTTTAAGCAATAAATTTCCATATTTTTTCATTACGATTGTTCAAATTAATGCATTTTCTCTAAATGCTTAATACATTTATTAAGCCTTACATTTTGTAAATACTTTATCGTGTTAAGATTTGAATGTGTATTTAATGTTTTATTGATGTACTTGGCTTGTTATCAGTTATAATTTAGAGAATAAATGTTTCAACATACTATAATGTTTTTATTCTTTTTTTGTCACTTCAGTAGAAAACAAAACTGAATGTTAGTTTCTTAATTTCTGCATCATCAGTGGCTTTTTTATAATACTATAGTAAGAAAGAAAAAGTAGAAGAGAAAAATAAGAACAGTAAAATGAGAAACCGATAGAAATTATACAACATGTGAAATGAACACCAATAACACACAGGACACCACACCTGACATTTGACCATCACACACAATCAGGCACATACACATACAAACATTCAAATATACACACATACATACATGCATACCATACCTACATACACACACACACTCACATATACTGTATATACATACACATATATACATCCAGTGATTGTCAGAAACCCCAGGATCCAAATGTCTATTTTTCTTCTGCTGCCTTTAATTTTATTTTATTTGTATTGTTTTGTTGTATTGTAATGTTTTGTTTTTAAAATGAAATAAATAAATACTAAACAAAATTTTCTTGAAAAGGAACGGAGAGTAGAATTTATAACCCACATATTTTATGATGTTGGCTGAAACTGAGCTTCCTCTTCTTGAAAGACCAGCATCCGCCACTGGTCTTTAGCCAGACCAGGAGACCACTTGGTTTCCTCCTGCGGCGGTGGTGTCTCTTCCAGGGATGTGGCACAGGCAGGTATCTCTGATAGAAGGAAAGGCAGAGTTTTCCAACGATGCTGATAAAATTCCACAGTTTTTGGTTAAAAACCAAAGATCCAAAAGAGTTTGACGATCATAGACCAGAAGAGATTTGCCATTTTGAATGACAATTGACAAAAACAACACAAAAGCAAACAGAACACCCCATGGCACACACACAACGCCGCCATCTTTCAGTGGAACTTCCTTGTTCTTACTTAAACTGTAAGTATATTTAAATCAGTGGACTTGGTAAGATTTAATTTCATTAATTTCAGTTAAATGCAAACAAGACTGAAACTCTTATTATCGCCCCTGAAGATAAAATCCCTGTAATCAGGCAGCACCTTGCTTTTTTAACCCCTTCAGTGAAAAATAGTCTCAGAAATCTGGGTGTTGTCTTTGATCAAAAGACAAAACTATCAGCCATTGTAAAACTTTAGTTCACAACTGTTTTTATCATTTAAGGAACATTTCAAAGCTGAGATGTTTTGTGTCACAGAAGGAACTAGAG